TATGCCAATTCCAAGTCATGCTCACTTCCAGAGGGAGCTATGTGGTTGCCCCTCACAGATCCGGGCACGCTCACAGATTACACACAGCCCACACAGTTTTCCATTTCTCACTCTCCAACCTCCTGAAAGCCCTGAGGGCAGGCCAGGTGAAGTAGACATAGCTAATGCTCAGAAAAGAGTTGATGTAAAGCTCCATCCACTTAGGAGACAATAGCCTAGCAGATGAAAGATGACCTTCCCAGGAGGCTGGGCTGAGTCTGGACCAAGGCTGTGGCATCACTCAATGGACAGCGTTTCTTGATTAAAAAAAGGTCTCCCTTCCTTCACTGATTATCCCACTGAGAAAACTGCCCTGATCATCTCAACAGATGCAGAAAAATGCTGGGCAAAACCTAGCACCTTGTCATGATAACAAAACACTCAGCAAACTAAGAAAAGAAAGGAACTTCCTCAACTCAATGAGGAACATCTATAAAAAACCACACAGGTTAACACTGTACTTCACAGACCAGGAATAAGACAGCTCTCCCCACCTCTATTCAATACTGCACAGGTGGCTCTAACCAGAGTAGTTGGGCAAGAAAAACAAATAAAAGGCATCCCAATTGGAAAGGAAGGACTAAAGCCATCCTCATTTGCAGTTAACACGATCTTACATATAGGAAATTCTAAGATTCCACTAAAAAACCTGTTAGAATTCATCAGTGAGTTCAGCAAGGCTGCAGGATACAAGAGCAAAATACATAAATCTGTTTTATCTCCACCACTCACATAAATGATCTGAATATGAAATTAATGAAACAATTCCATTTATAATAGCATTAAAAACAATAAAATGCATAGGAGTAAACATAACAAAAGAAGTACAAAACTTACACTCTGAAAACTACAAAATACTATTGAAAAAAATTAAAGATGACTGAAATAAATGTGAAGACACTCCATGTTCATGGATCAAAAGACTTAATATTGGTAAGATGGCAAAACTTCCCCAAGTTATCCTATTCAGTCAACAAAATTTCTGTCAAATTTCCAGCTAACTTCTTTGCGTAAACTGACAAATTGATTCTAAAATTCATATGGAAATTTAAGGGACTCAGAAATAGCCAATGCAATCTTGAAAAAGAAAAAGGTGAAGGAGTCATACTTCCTAATTTCAAATTTACTACAAAGGTTGCAAGGGACATCAAACTCAACTGGCATAACATACTACATAAAAACATAGTTCTATATCCTACTTTGATGAGTAGTGACTGGGGTCTTAAAAACTTGCAAGCAGACATCTAGATGCCAACAATGGTCTCTCCTCATCCAGTGCAAAAGAAGAAAGGAAAAAAAAAAAAAAAAGACACATAGGAACAATTAGTCCAAGGGACTAGCAGACCACGTGATCCTCAGCCTATATGACCATAAGACTGGAAGAACTAGATGGTGCCTGGCTACCACTGTCATCCACTTGGAAAGGGATCAGTACAGAAGATCTTGGATAGAGTGGGAGACCAACGTGGAAGAAAACTCAAAATCATAAAAGAAAAAAAAAGACCACATTTACTGGTCTGATAGCATGTGGCGAGATCTCTGACACTATGGCCCCTAGTTACCCTTCAGGTCTGGAACTGAGCTCACTCCTGTGGCTTTCAGCCAAACAACAGACAGGCACATGGGGTGAACATTTACATCAGGTAGATACACTCCTTGGAGCGATCAATCAGGAGAACAGAAGGGCAGTGTTTGCACAGGGAGACAGCTTGGGGGACAGCAGTGCACAGGAAGGAAGGGCACAGGGAAGAATTAACTATGGGGAGGAAGTGGAAAGAGAGTTGTTACACTGTGGGGAATTACAGTCAATGTCATGAAATAAAATGTGTTTTAACTGCTGAATGGAAAATAAATTTGCTCTGTAAACTTTCACCCAAATCACAATAAAAATTAAAAAAAAATTACTACAAAGGTGTAATAATCAAGAGCATCTGACTGCTAACCAGAAGGCTGGCAATTCAAACCCTCCAGCCACTCCTCAGAAGGAAGGTTGGGCAATCTACTTCCGTAGTGATACCGCCTTGGAAACCCAAGGAGGGGTCACCATGAGTTGGATCTGACTCCAGGGCAGGGAGTTTGTTTTTTTGTACGGTACTAGCAAAAGGAAAGATGTATAAATCAACAGAACAGAACTGAAACTCTAGAAATAAAACTCTCACATTCACAGTCATTCAATTCTTGACAAGGGTAATGACAATTCAATGGAGAAAAGACTAGACTTTTCAATAAATGATGTTCTGGTGGCTAGTGTCTAAGGCATGTGACTACTAACCAGAAGGCTGGAGGATCAAACCCACCAGCCACTCTGTGGAAGGAAGACTGGGCTATCTACTTCTGTAAGTATTTACCACCTTGGAAACCCAAAGGTGGTCGCTGTAAGTCGGAATCGACGTGATGGCAGTGAGTTTGGTTTTTGGTTTGATGCTGGGACAACTCGACATCCACATGCAAAAGAATGACACTGGATCCCTGTCTCACACCATATATAAAACTAATATAAGGTGCATCAAAGATAAAAATGTAAGAGCTAAAACTATAAAACCCACCAGCCACTCCTCGGAAGGAAGGTTGGGCAATCCTACTTCCGTAGTGATACTGCCTCGGAAACCCAAGGAGGGGTGGCTATGAGTTGGGGCCAACTCGATGGCACATAACAACAACAACAACATTGTGATTTGGGTGAAATTTCACAAAGCAGTTCGTTTTGCTTTCAATATGTCGTTTCAATAGTTCATACACATTTTGTTTTGTGACACTACTTACATTCCCCACAATGTAACAGCTCACCTCCCACTTCTTCCCTACAAATGTAAATTTTTATGACCATGGATCAAGCAGTGGTTTCTTAGGACACCAAAAGCACGAGCTACAAAAGAAAATACAGGTGAATTTGACATCATGAAAGTTAAAAACTTGCATGCTTCAGAGGATACCATCAAGAACATGAAAACACAACCTACAGAATGGGAGAAATTATTTACAAATTATCTGATAAGGGATTTGCATTTAGACTAGATAACTCTTGCAGCTCACTTTTAATAAAAGACTAACATTCCAGTTAAAAAGAAGGCAAAGACTAAGACCATGTATATGGTTGTCAGACTATGTTTCTAACAAGTGCATTTGTATTTTCTGTAGGAATTCCCAGGTATACAGTAGCACTGACAAGGGACACGACTGTAGTCACTTCTTGGCCACAGCCAGCTGCCCAGAGGAAGTGAGTAGTTGGACCTGTGGGCTTGGG